CCCTCGATGACAATGATGACATCAGATATACTGGCATCTTCCTCTTCTACAGATCTGCTCAGTACGATGATTTTCATGACATGACTGGAGAAGGTTAATCAAATCTCTGCTGACATCCTGTGAAATATACAAATCAGTACAAAGTGGTTAAAATACTGTACAGTATCACTTTTTCAAGGACAAGGACAATCTGCATAAAGACATGGTATTGATGATTGACGGCCTGTATTTCCATGTATTAGCCTTAAGTGTTTTAATAGCTGTAGTCTTCGGTTTGACTGAAAGCTGCATTTTTTACATAACCACCTCATTCTCCGGCACCTACAGTTAAGAAACGATGCACATGTGAATGCATACTTATTGCTATCTATCTGTGAGGTGTGCTGTAATAAAGTATCGCCAACTTACCTTGAATTATAGCTTGAATAGTGAGTGCAATATCTGTAAAAGAATGTAAAAAATGTTCATGTCAGAATTCATTTTTAACTGCTTGCAGATATCAACCACGTGTAAAGTGGATGTTGGTCAGTAAAAGAACATCATGAAATAAAATACAGGCTTTACAACTTATATAAGTTGTACACTTATATTAATTAAGATTTATTTAAACAAGCATTTAGACTTGTGTAATTGCAAAAGTGTGCAGTACAGTCACCTATATAGCTATCATACCCGATAGTATAGGTAAACAATATAAAGTTCACGGTAATATTTGCCTTGTACAAGTGCATTTTAAAAACTAACGTTAATCCTGTGTGATTAATACGCGAAAATTTCAGCAGCTCGAACTTTTCTTGGACAGAATGCTCGAACACGACAGGGCAATGCCTCGAGCTAAGTTTGCACGGATGTTAAAACTCCTTTTTACAATAATCGTCTGACAAGATTAAGGTCATATATAAAACTTAAGACAATTGTTTTCGACAGATATGCCGTTTGCTAATAACGAATGGTGGTGCAAATCGCAAACTCTGTCAACTACCGGTATATTAATAGTTTCATTTAGTAATTATTTAATTCTGTTATCCGTTTTGTTAAACTCTGTTTGTTAAACAAAACTAAGATTAAGTTTTAACGTTATCCAAAAATCCGTTAACACTGTTAACATGAACACTTTTAGCACTTGTAACTCGATAAAAAAGAAACGGTAGGCACAAACCACTGGGACTGCAGATAGCTTAATAACTCTACACTTTTCTGCAAACATACTTCAATTAATTACTAAGCATATTAATAACTTACCGTGGTAAAATTCACATTAGCCGTCGTGAAGTCTCTCTTCCTTTTCTCTGTGCGCGCCACTTCAAACTCGGAGCCAAAGACGCATGCGCATCAATTATCTTGCTGAACTGAGTACGTTTTACTTGAGTTGTTCATTTTTGGTGTGATTTGATTAGATGGCAAACACTAAGTAAATATTACTTAGGAGATTGTATTTAAATTTACATATGTATTTTAGAACAATAAATGACAAAGAAACTGCAAGTAATGTACTGAATTAAACATGCCATTTTTAAGTAAAAAGACAAAATAGTATTTGTTTGTAAAACATACTTAAATAATGTTTCCATTATTTACAAGGTAAAAAAATCACTTTTTACAGTGTAGTACAAATTGCGAGCTTTCCGGCAATATATCACATGTCCCGGGACAGGATTTCTACGTAGCACTTCCATGTTTCAACATAACAGATTCTTTGCAAATCTGCCTTTTCTTTTATTTATTTCGTGTATTAATTCTGATAAAATGGCTTGTAGAGT